AAAAGAGGTAGTGAATATAATGCTAAGGTTATTGCAAAAGAGGTAGCAAAAATATGCAAAGCAATAAGATTCAAAAGAGTATCAGCTAGTCAGCTCATATATTTGAACAATAGTATTTTGTTACCATGTATCAAATATAGGTTGCAGACATTGTTTTTATCAAAAGCAAAATGCAATTAAATACAAAGACCAATATAGATGCTGATTAAAAACAAATTAAAGCTTGCTAAGACAGTATCTAATAGTATATGTAGTTATTTAAAACTCCTAGACCTCAGATCTATTTGGCAAAATCAATTGGCATATCATTTTACAGAATTAACATTATGCCTAAATCAAGATAATGAGATAGACATTACAACATGACTTAGAGTAAAGGATACATAATTGAGATACAAATCTAAATTCAGCCTTTTAAATGAGAGATACAAGTTTAATACATATAAGATAAAGAACAATTTGTCAGATCATATCATCAGTAATGCAAGAAAACTGAGTTTCAGATTTCAAGAGATACTTAGAAATACAAACAACTTAGATATAAAGAGTCTAAAAATAGGAGACTTTCTAGAAAGCAAAAGTTATAAAGAGTTTATAGAAAGCAAAAACCTTAATTTGTTTACTATAAACTAGCTCTTAGAAAAAGGAGACAAGTACTTACTCAAGTGACAATAGATCAAATTTCTAAGAAAGAACAAAATGAAAGAGCAAAAGCTAAACTAGTTTAAAAACCTAAAGGAGAAGATTATTCAAGATAGGTAGAATTGTTAATGAAGTACTCCAAGCTATAATAAAATATATAAACCACTTCAGTTTCAAACTGGAGTACTTTATATGTTTTATTATAGCTTGGAGTACTCTATTAACAACTCTAAAGATAGGAGATCAAGAAAAGTACTAGACTTTTTGCAAACTCAGGACATGAATTGGATAGCACTTAAGATAGAGAAGAAGAAAGTGAGCATAGACAAAAGGAAAAAAGAATAGATTCTATTTAAAGAAAACAATAGGATAATAGTAGGTAAAATAACAAAGAAGACCAAAACTTGCATAGTAATAGCTCACTAGAAAGTAGTTGAAAATAGTAACCTTTTGAAAACAAGACTTGTTTGCTGTAAAAACTACAACTTAGGAAATAGGAATGATATAGAGTGTTTTATTTCTAAGAGTGTGAGCAAATAGTATCAAATTCTAAAAGGAGTAATTAGAAAAGAAGAACAGGTCGTAGAACTAAAGTCTCTTCTATCAGACTATCTAGAGTATATAGCATCTAGTACAACAGATCTAGCTAGTAGACAAGTAGAGATCTAGGTGAAGATATCGAACTTAGAAGAAGCAATAATACAAAGAGTAATTAAGAAAAGAGGTATTTAAGTAGAGCTTATTGATATTGTAAAGAAACATTAAGGTAGAGACAAATTAGATATATACATAAATAAGTCATTTGTAAATAAAGAAATAGGCAGTATAGAAAGTGATAAAATGAGAATAGGTTGGATAGTAGCTCATAAAAAAGCAGATAGCATAGATAGTATTAGCTTTAGTAGTAGCCTAGTAGACTAGCTCTTCTCAACTCGAGCTAAACTTGGTATAATCTAGATAGCAGCTCTAGTAGCTATCTGCAACTTAAAATTAAATATCTTCTTAGATAGCAAGGTAGTGATTGAAGGATTTCAAAAAGAAAGATCAATTTGGAATATTCGAGAGATCTTTAAAACAAAGAATCATAGTTTAATAAGTCAAATTCAGGATTGTTGCAAAGCAAAAGGTATTACTTTTAATCTTACAAAAGTTAAAGGACATAGTAACAATTAGAGAATAGCTAAAAATAGATATGTTTATATATTTTTGAATATTTAATTAAAATTAGAGTAAGGGTTAGTTAAAGGTTAGGATTAGAGTATAATTTATAGGAAAAATTGTTTTCTTGACATTTTTTATTAATGCTCTAAAATGGGTTTAAATACTCATTTCTTGTTTTTTGATGTTTTTTACTTTTTTTTTTGTTTTTGTCTTGTTAAGTAGATTTGAAAAGATAATATTTTACAATTTGATTAGCTATTGGTCATATAAATATATCTAGCTTTAAACGATCTTAATAATCAGTGGAATAACCTAGCTGATACTTTGGCAAAAGATAGCCTAAACTCAAGTAGATCTATTTTAGTAGATGATGTAAATACTAACAATCTAAGAGTTCTATTTAAATGGGAGGACAAGCTTATAGACTGCTCAATCAAATCTTTCGTAAATATCACAACAGTAGTAACTAATAGAACAAAATAGATAGAACTAAGTAGCTCAAAAGAAATAATTAACTACTAACCTAGCAATAGTGAAGCTGAAGATATAGATTGAAAAAGTATATAAGAAGTGTTTAAGTGTTATCAGAAAAGAAGAGGCACAAGTCTCAAAAAAAGCAAAGCCCTAATATTTAGAATAAAATACCTGAATAAGCTTCTACCAACTCATAATATTTGCTTTTAATGGAGATCTGATCTTTATAGAGGTAAAATCTGTATAGCTTATTGTATTATTAAAGAAATATTTATTCATCTTGCAGAGTATATAGTTTATCAAAGTATTTGGAAATGAATAGAAGTAGCAATTATAGAGAAGCTGAGACTCAAAATCATAGAAAAGTGAAATATTTCAGTAACAAATAAAAATCTAACTAAGGTTTTTTTAGGTATTGTATCAGAAGACAAAATCCAAAAAAGAAAATTATATCTTCAGAGATTGATAAGCAAAAAGTGTATCTCAGAAGCCAAAGAACTTGTTGAGTCTAGATCAAAAGCAAATCAGGTTGTTAACTGTTTCATAGATTCTTTTTAATTAAACTTTTATGAGAAACTATAGAAGTTTCACTATAAAGTAATAGTTAACTAGGAAAAGGATAAAGGAATCAACCAATGAGAGAAAAAAAAAGATAAAAGATGAAAGCTTAGAAGCTCAGAGAACAAGGAAAATATTATAGATTTATATAAAAAAAAAGTAGAAATATAAGCAAATAAAAAAATTAAGATCTTAGAAAAAATGAAAGACAAGGTTACAAATTGGATCAAGAAAGGTGAATATGATAATTAGTTAAAGTTTAAAAACAAATAACTAGGCTTTTTTGATATAGGCTAGAAGTAGCCTTCTTTTAATTAAAACAGAAGTAGTATATGCTAGTATGTAGTTTGTCTTGAAAAGAAAATTGCTACTGCAGCAGATCATATTTGGATACCATAAGGGTAGCTAAATAAGTCTGAAATTGTAATAAGAGAGCAGTCTTAAGATTAGAATAGTTTTTTTAATTTTAATTTTTTGTATTTGTCTTATTACTCATGAAGTAATTCTTTTAATAAAATAAAGGACAAGATCATTTAAGTTAAAAAAAAAATATATATATATATAAATATATTATATAAATATACAAATATTAAATATATTTATTAGATTACAAGTTAATATGTAAAAATTTGAGTTATTATATTTTAATTCAAATGTATCAGGTTGGTATATCTTGCTTAATAAAATAACCAATACTAATAAATATAACTAATAATAATATAATGTAAATTATGCTAAAATCTATTCTATAACAATATTAAATAAAAAAAAAAAAAAAGATATTTGACTAACTAATATAATAAAAACAAATAAAAATAAAAAAATAATAAACTAGAGTTATAAAATATTATAAAAGTCTAATTTAGATAATATAATCATACTTTTCTAAATATATATTTTCTAAATTAAATGTATAATATAATTTGATTTTAACTTATAAGAACTTTATATATTTTATTCTCTATAAATACAAACCTTCTTTAAATACAAAATTTTAATTTTTTTTTTTTTACTATAGTTTAATAGCATATACTTAAAAAAATATAACTATATATAAAATAAATATAGACTACTTTAATAAAAATACTTTTAAAATTAACTATGGTATATATATCTACAATATAAATATTTTAGAAGATCTAAGCTATGTATTAAATAGATTTAACTAGTTTAAACAATCAGATATAGTAGTGATATTAGTTTTTAGATATAACAGTTAGTGTAAAACAAATAGGTAGTCTATCATCTAAGCGCAAACTATTTAATTAGATAATAACTAAAGTTGTATTTGTATGTAATTACAACCTTAGAGAATTACTATATACATGATCTTATATTACAAAAGCACAATCGGCCAAGAAGGCTACTTTTAAAGATCTTATCTAAAAAAAAAAAAACTTTTTTGTTTTTTTAAGTAAATCAAGTTTAATTTTTTTTCATAAATTTACATATAAAATTGATAACAAATAATTACAACACTCAAGATGATATGATATGTCCCCATGCATGTTAAGTTTTTTTTATTAATAATAATACCTATTTTTTCATTAGTGGATAGCGAATTGTACGTAAAAAAAATTTAATTTGGCAATAGAACTTAGGTGCAATACCCTACTTCACCTGATATAAAAATTTGCAGTATTACGTATAATTTGGCAAACTTGTTTAACCAAAAAAAAGTTAAAAAAAAAAAAAAAAGAATCCTTTAAATTTATTTATTGTATTACAAAATTATGAAGTCTAAGTAAAAAAGAGACATGACTTTAGCCGTTTTTTTTTTTAATTAAAGAATACTTACGGATGTGGAGATTTCGTATTTGATCATGTGAATATCAGATATTGATAAATATCGAATGATACGTATCTGTAAACGAGAATTTTTCAAATCAAAAAATTTGTATTTACCGTATCTCTTTTTTTTCAGTTTTTTTTTTTCTCTCGCCCAATATGACACTCTACTACAGTCTCGTGTTCATTTTATTAATCGCTGAGGTATCAAAAATATATATATATTTACTATAAAATATTAATGCTTAAATGTTGAAAGTAACATTACATTTTCTTTATTTCTAGTCGATAGCTTTTATGTTTCTGATCGTGAGTATTTCTAAAGGTTATTTTTATTATTTGTATTAATATCAATTTTTCAAGTCTAAAATTATATTATGGTATCTATTAAGTTACCGTTCCCTTATTCCTGGCGACGGGCTATGTTGCGCTGGGTATCTCAGTCGCAGCTGGTAAGTTAAATTATATATATCAGTATTTAAGTCAAATTAAACTGTACTAATGAAATTTGATATTTAAAATATTAAAAAGGCTGCACAATCGCAATATGTCCTGAAATTCGCGTTCATGTAAGATTATTTTCACAAATATATATATATATACAATTTTTATTAATTATCTTAAATTTAACATGCGGGAACTATTTCAATAGTTTTGTTTTCATCCTTTTCCTAGGTATTTTTATTTACATTTACATGTCAATTCTTTATTTTTCAATAAAAAATTTTATTTCTTTAATATTTATTTAATCAGATGCTGCAAATCGTACTTATAATGTACAAACTGAGAATAGAGATGAACATATTATTGACACAAGAAGCGAAGCAACTATTCACGAGTTTCCTCGCAATAACAGTTATAGGAAACCTCGGTTTAGTTAGTAGTTATTCGCTTTTATATTTTCCTCGTACAATTTTCACTAAATATCAGGTAACAATCAATTCTTTCTATAAAATATTTTTTCTAAACTCTCATTTAACCATTATCAAAATTTTACTTAATGTAATTAGATATGGAGGCTTTATACGCCTTTCTTTTATAATCCTCGTATTGATTTAAACGGTGCGATTCAGCTTTACTTGCTGTATCGATATTCTTCAGAGTTAGAGACTACGAGATTTGTTGGCCGTACTGCTGAATACATTTATTTCCTTTTAGTAGAAGCCGGGTTAATACTTGTATCCTTATTTATTGTTTATTATTGTCAATAAATCAATCCCTATTTCTGCCCGAATTCTTATTTATTTCTTTTACAAGCTTTCGGTTCTCACAAAGGGAAATATTGAATTTTGTTTAATTCTGTAAATTTAATTTCTTTGGAATAAAATTATTAATATGAAATATAGCTTCAGTTTTATTCAAACATTATTATTCCTTAAATTTTTTTTTTTTTTTTATTAGATATTTGGTTGGTTATTAGAAATATATCTTCTTAATCAATGTTTAGTTATGGCTATCATATATTTATGGTCTCAAGAATTTCGTGATTCGATCGTAACTTTTATCTTCGGATTGAGGTTCAAGGTAATATTTATATTTCTTTTAACTCAAATATTTTTTAAGAAATGATATAATTTGTTATTATTTTCTTTAAAGGGATCTTATTTCCCTTGGGTTCTTCTTGCGTTTGACGTTCTTCGAATGGGTGATGTATTATCAACAGCTATCGGAATAATTGCCGGACATATTTATTACTATTTACAAGATCTTTACCCAGCATCTGGTGGGCCAAGATTATTAAATACTCCACAATTGTTGTACAGATATTTCCCACCTTCACCTAGTGGAATAAGGTCATCATTTGGAACCGTCATTCCGCCGAGAAATCAGAATAGTGCCGGTGAGGGATCAACACATATATGGGGTAGAGGACAAAGATTAGGTTCATCATGAGCTTTTATTAATTTTAATATTAATTAAAATATTGATCAATTAACTTTTACGAGTTATTGAAAAATATGTTGTAGACGAGGCTTTTTTTTTTCAAGGTATTACAACGTACATGACATAGCTTCCAAAGTTTATAAATTGAATAATATTTGTTTTTAATGAAACATATTTAGTCGAATAATCTATTCAATTTGATTTTGTATTCTGGAAAGCCATAAAATTCTGGCAGAATAATTAATTACAAACATGATGTACTAATTAAACTAGCACTGAAAAACTATTTTATTCATTTTTCTTATCATTTGACCGATTTTCAAACTTTCTCTCTAGTTCATTATATTTATCAGTCATTTTCATATATTCTTCTTGCACTTGGCTAGTTTGTTTTTTCAAAGTATCAAAATCTCTTGACTTCGCCTTCTCTTCATTCAATTCATTGGTTACGACTTCCAACTGCTTCTTCAAAGTTTTCTCGGTGTCAGTAATTCTTGTATATTCTTTTGCCTGATTTTCAGCCTATCAAAGAAAAGAAAAAGATCTATAAATATCATTAACGAAACAAAAGAAATTACTACTTATCAAGTAAAAACTGAACTGACCTGCTTTTTGATGACTTCAAGTTGGTCTTCACTCTTTAGAAGATCCACAATGAGTACATAAGTTCTATTTAATATCCTAATATATTAAAGAAATTGATT